AATGGTGCTGAAAATCTGACACTCAAATTAAATTAAAACTAGTTAAAAGCTAAGGGCCCGTCTGATAACCATTTCAATTTTAGTTTTTAGTTTTTGCGCTAGAGTATAGAGAAAAAAGAGAGAGAATGGAAGTGAGAATGAGAGTGTCACTACCCAAAAAAAAAAAAAGATGGGATTGAGAGGGAAGATGAGAGGAGAGGATTGGAAGGAGGTTGATGACACAAAGACCTCAATTATTTGCTTCATCCTTACCCGTGGCGGATCCAAGATATGAAAGCCGGATGGGCAAAACTTACATACTAAAATCAACGGTACAAGTGAATTTCATTAATAAACATAAAAAAGATATACGGGGGACGTAATTAACCTTACCCTAAAATGCATCTCTATACATACCAACATTTTTTTTTTATGTAGAAAGAATTTTAATAAAAAATACCAACAAAAAATCAAACAAATTGTCATAGAGCATCTCAACAATATCAACAACAAATCAAACATCTCAACAAAATTTCTAAAATCAAAGCCTTAATTAATTTTAACAAAATCCCCAAATTATAATTCATCCCTAATTAATTCCTAGAATACTTAATTTTAAATTAAAACTATAATTATATATATATATATATATATATATATATATATATATATATATATATATATAGAAGATGAGAGAGTGAGAAAAATTCTTTTCGGAATAAGAAGATGTTGTTGCCCACCCAAGAAGAGAGAGAGAGAGTTATAACATATATAGGTATTTTTTGTTTAAAAAAAAATTTGGAATGGCAGGCGCCGACCCTACCCTGTACACAGAACCGCCCCATATCCTTACGAACCCATGTCACCATCCATGTGCCGATGAATGGAATTCGCGTATTATGCATGGCATGGAAATTCAAACATGATTTGAAGTTTGAAAGCAAAATTATTAGGAGGTTGTTGGGCTAACTTTTTTCATGCCCATATCATCAGAAATCATAAAACAAATTAATTGTATCTTATCAATGATGCGGCTCTAATGATTAATTGATGTATAAATTTACTCTCACCAGCTCAATGAACCCCCATGGCATCAAAACAAAATAAAATGCAATAGTTGAATTATAATGCTTTTGGTCATTTTCAGCAAGAGTAAAATCTATCACGATTCACTAGTTTTGGGAAATTTCTCCATCTTGCAAAGATACAAAATTTGACCTGCATTGCCAAAACTTGTGTATGCAAAACCCTAATATTCCCCCTACTTGACAAACAAAAAAGAATCAAACCTAATTTTTCAAGTTGTAGGTGACCTTTTTTCAAGTAACTTTGTTGACAAGAAACACTCCCCCACAATGTCAAAAGTACGTATATATTTGATAAGGCCAATTGCCACACATAAACAAAAACTCAACCACTCCAGCCACCAAATTCCCATCTTCTTTTTCATGCACAGTTGTTTATTCTCGACAACTCTTAACATTTATTCTTATATAAATGCCCCTCTCGTGTGCGTCTGTGTGAGACATGCAGCTATAGGTGGGTACAGTTTGTGGATACAGGTGGGTACAAGACAGATTTGCTTTTTTTCTTTTTCCGGCCGCAAGACTGATTTGATCCACTTTCGCTTTTTCTTTCCTTCTTTAAATCAATTATAAGAATTTTAAATACCTATATATCAGCTAAATATATCTTTTGAAATTTGGCTGTATTATTTTTTAGATATGAAATATTTATATTACAATCTTTATATAGATTTTCAACTACAAAACCACCAAGAAATGAAGTAGAAAATTACAGAAAAAATTATTTGAATTGTTGTGAGACAAAATTATTGGTGTGGAAATGATTAATTAATTATACATAATAGTTGCTTGTGTTAATATATACATTGAAAATATATGGACATATCTTTTCCACAGAAAACTTCTAAGAAAAATTAGGTATTACACATAACAATCCCTACTAATTAGAATTTGAGACATAGAGAATTTATATTTGGGTTTTAATATCTATAAATCAAATTTTGTTTTGGATTAGGCCAAAGAAGAGGCATAGATTCGTTGGGCCTCTCTAAATTACAAAGTTAAAATACAATTTTATCCTTTTTGTTTAAAAGCCTAACCAAAATTAGATCTCTCTCATCAATCTCTCTCTGCTGGAAGCAGGGACGGATCCAGGATTTCAAACTTGACTGGGCTAAATTTACCTTACATATAAACATACTAAGTAGATAGAAAACTACAGTTAAAAAATTTCTTCTTTTTTCCTTTCTTTTTTTCCACAGGCTGTGTGCATTCCCTTTTCTTTTTTTCTCTCCTATGTGCCGTTGCTATAGGCTGCAGCTTTCTCTTTTATTCCCCACATGCAAGCAGTGTAAGCAAAGGATTCCTAAGAAGGGTAGGATTAGAATATTCACTTGGATGGCTGGCTGGGCTATAAAAAAATTTTGGGCTGGGATTTTAAAAGCCACCTGGGATGTAGCCCAGGTTAGCCAAAGCCAAGTACCGTCCCTGGCGGGAAGGTGATTATATAAATCAGTGATTCTCCATAGAAGTGTTTTTTTGACTTATCCAGAATCACTCCCAAACGAACCCTAAATCAGCTCATCAAAAACTAATACATCCTCAATGAAAAAAAGGGTAAATTTTCTTTAAATCAAACCAAAAGATTAATCCGGAGTTTTTCTCTAATCTACTGCCAAAAAAAAAAAAATTCGAAACATTCTTTTGCATTTCTTGATCTTGGTTTCTTTATGGTGTATATGCCCATCAAAAGATTGTCACCATTTTAAACAAGAAAAGTGAACTAAAAGAGCAGAAGGGTAGTCAAAGAATGGCAACCCCACAACGCGTGGCTGCTACCTACATATATTCTTTAAAAATGGATAATGCTCTGTGTAAAGTGAAAAAAGCCGAAGTGGCAATTTATATTTTATACAGATTTTTATAGATAAATGAAATTGGAAAAAGGCAGTCATTGTACGTACTGAGAGCAGATCTTTATAAAATACAAGCCAAAATGTAAGGAAGTTCGAATATGAGATTACTGGTCTCTGCAAGTTAAGGTTCTTTTCTACCGCTAGACCCGTTAACATATTATTTATAGATTATAATAAGTGATGATGCATTATGCCCACCTGAGCTGAGGGGCCAAAAAGGAGAAAGGTATTATTCACAATCCCCACCTTTTGCATCATTTTAATGGGATCATATGAGATATCAAAATACAGTACTTGGCTCTCCGCGTTGAATATTCTTTAGTCACTCCCACGCGAACCAACCAAAACCATCACAATTCTCAAGCGCACAAGGCGTGCGTCAAACATGAATAACAATACCAGTACTTTTTTTATTTGGGGCATGCATGTAATTTTGCTAAAGATGAGCAACCAAATAGAAAATAGTCGGCGCAGTTTGTTTTATTAGCCTTTCTAACCTCTATCGCTTAGCATTTTTGTCAACCTGAATGAAGGGGTTTATTAGCCTTTTTAATTCTCATTTTTTGAGGTGCCTTTTTAAAACAACTATTTTTTTTTCACACGTAGCACCTCCATGACATACAAATTACCACAAAATGACCTCATTCATGCTATGTCAGCAATGACGATAGAAAGCCAAAAGTAAAGTAAGACGCAAAATATCGGTCAATAGCGTGAATCCTGATGATTTTTAGAGGGGCAATGAGCACTAGCATAATTAAGTCAATAAATAAATATAAACGAGAGATTAGACCTCTTTAGCGTAACAATAATATTATTTGTACTACATTTATTGATTATATTGTTGACCTATCAGTGTATGTGAGATTCATCTGTATTAAAGAGGTTGTCTGTATAAGATAGCAATTGATCATTGATCAGTTCACGTGCAAGGTTCCTCAACTTCTGTGGTTCTTTTCTTCTAAGCATATATCCAATAATTGGTCCTCTTTTGATCCCAACATTAATTGCTCAATTATTGTGTTACTACTTCTTATTACATACTTTGTAAGTAAACATGCAGCCCTCCAAGTCAAAATTTACTCACTTTTATATGTAAAAAGTTAGCTAACTTCACAGATGGGTTTGACAAATCAATGTACGATAAATTTATTTTTTTTATTTTTTTAAGATTAAGAGTATATTCCATGATTATCCATCCATTTTATTATATAAATATTATTCTTTGAAACTAATTATTTTGAATGGATCTCTATAAAATAATTCTTAATTAACTTCTTACTACGTGAAAAAATTGTGAAGAATAAAAATGATTAACACTATTAAAAACTTATTTTTATCTTGGAACGTAAATTAGTACATGCAGATTAATTTAGCGATCAAGAGTTTTAAAGACAATTGTGAGTGTTTTAACTTCGGAATATAGAATGACAAACGAGGAGTGTGAACATCTAGCAAATACCTTTTTCTTCAAATCAAAACACAAGCAAAAAAATAGTGTAGGTCTAGGGAAACAATTATAAACAGGACTATATCACAATGCTTAGTGTGATGAATATGGTGGGGTTAACATTAACTGGACATACCCCAAACAAAATTATGTCAAGATTTGACCTTATTGTCACTCATTGTTGAGTTATGTATGCATCTTTTCCGGCCAAAAAACGAAAAACTCTGTTTGAAACTTTGAAGTCAACGCCAAGGAATCAGGAAAACCCAAATTTTTTTTTTTTAAAAAAAAAAGAAAAAGAAAAGAAAGGAGCTCTTTAATTCTAAGCCGCAACAGAAGCCGAGTGTACGTGGTCTGAAAAACACAACCGACCACTTAAATTAAAACCTGTGGAATTTAGTCCCCAGTCAAATACTCGCCAAACATGCTTTTACTTTTATTTCCTTATGACCCACATGACAGAAATTTATCACACACACCTCCCCTACCACATGTTCTCTCTTTACACATACATATACATATATCCCTGACTCTCCTCTCACAACATAAACTCAGCCACTCTCTCTCTCTCTCTCTCTCTCTCTCTCTCTCTATAGCTCTCTCGCATTTTCCTTCAACAGAGCTATAGAAATGGCTTCCGTGATTCAGATGCAGAATACAAATATGAACCAGCATGTCACATTTCCTAAAAACATTCGGCCACGGTCAGGTTCTTTTGGGCAGGTTTGTCTGCCCAAAAGAACCGAAATTGCTGGCGATAGACAGACAATTGTCGCAGCACTAGGGACCGTGGAAGTAGCCACTACTACCAGTACTAGAGCCAATACGAAAACCACCGCCAGCACTAGTACTACTAGTAATTTAACTCATCAATGGAGAGAAATTCAAGGTTCAAACAATTGGGAAAACCTGGTGGAGCCATTGCACCCACTTCTCCGGCAAGAAATTATTCGATACGGTGACTTTGTCACTGCGTGTTACAAGGCCTTTGATCTCGACCCAAACTCCAAACGCTACCTCAACTGCAAGTACGGCAAGAAGAACATGTTCAGAGAGGTTGGGCTCGAGAGTTGCGGTTATGAAGTCACCAAGTACATCTACGCCACTCCGGACATCAACATCCCAATCCAAAACGGCGAGTCGTGTGGCCGTTGGATGGGATACGTCGCCGTTTCATCAGATGATGCAGTTAAGAGGCTCGGAAGAAGAGATATTGTAATCACCTTCAGAGGCACAGTCACAAACCCTGAATGGGTTGCAAACCTAATGAGCTCATTGACTCCGGCACGGCTTGATCCTCATAATCCGAGGGACGATGTGAAGGTGGAGTCTGGATTTTTGAGCTTGTACACGTCCGACGAAAGCGAAAGCAAGTTCGGGCTAGGAAGCTGCCGGGAACAGCTTCTTTCAGAGGTGTCCAGATTGCTAAACAAATACAAAGGTGAAGAGTTGAGCATAACATTAGCAGGACATAGTATGGGGAGTTCTTTGGCTCTTCTTCTTGGCTATGACATCGCCGAGCTCGGGTTGAACCGAGAGAATTCCCGAAGGAAAATACCGATTACAGTGTTTTCGTTCGGGGGCCCGAGGGTAGGGAACTCGGGGTTCAAGCAAAGGTGTGATGAATTGGGTGTGAATGTCTTGAGGATTGTGAATGTGAATGACCCCATTACCAAGATGCCTGGGGTTGTTTTCAATCTCGAGAACTTTAGGGTTTTGGGAGGTGGGGGATCGTTTGAGTTTCCATGGAGTTGCTCATGTTATACTCATGTGGGTGTTGAATTAGTATTGGACTTCTTCAACATGCAAAACCCTTCATGTGTTCATGACTTGGGGACTTATCTTAGCTTGCTCAAATGTCCCAACAGAGTGCAGATTCAAAAGGAGGGTGTGGATTTGATGAACAGAGCAAAAGAATTGCTCTTGAATTTGAATGTGAGCGCTCAAAATTTCAACATGCAAGTGCCAATCCCATGGAGAAGTGCTTCTGCCAGAAGTACCAGAAATATGGTGAAGCTGCAGATTCAATCACAAAGAACATAAATATTAGTGTGTTCATAGAAATTTTAGGATTTTTCTCAACTCCCCAGCCTTGTAATTTTGTTCAGGAAAAAGGGTTTTGTGAATTACAATCGTCCTGGCCTAATGTATATTGTAGAAATCAGTTCAATAACCTCTCGAAAGAAATCAAGAGGTTAAATTTTTGAAACCAATGAAACTGTTATTTATCAATTTTTTTTTATGTAGTTTTGCATTTCAGTGTTTTCATTTCCATGCTATTTTCTTTCTTCTTTTCGGTTCTCTCGGACTAACCTTGTGTTGATTGCCTTCGAAGTTTTAGAGACCGTACGTGTATGCGAGATTCATGTGTATGCAGTTAAAAGAAATTATTACAGGAAAAAAAAAATATCAAAAAATATTTACGACCTCTCTAAAACTCCTTTGTATCAAAAAATATTACAGGAAAAAAAAAAATCAATTATCAAAACAACAAGTATTTACGACCTTTGACAATTAATTCCGAACAACCTATTAATATCAACAAAAAAAGACAAATATATAGAAACGAAATGAGGTCAGAATGTGGGAAAAGTGAATGGTGTGAGTCATGTACATTTCTACCCATATACACATATTAGAATAATAAAAAGAATTATCTATATATATAAAGCAAAAGGCAGAGAATTGTGAAACATTCAAAATACCAGAAAATGCCCTTGGTTAATGCAAACATTAATAATTAAAATTATTAATTAAATGAGGATAATATGGTAAATTCACACTTTTTCATATTAAAAAAAAATTAAAATTAAAAGAAAAATCAATAATGGATTCTATTTTTATGGAACACAACTACCCATTATCTTTTTTAATTCTAAAATAAATTTTAATTTTTTTAAAAAGAAGCCTTTCGCAAGCGCGGAAGCGCGTGCAGAGAGGCTAGTATATATAACAAAAAGTCATTTACAGTTAAATTTTCAAATAACAAAAATGGCTTCGTTTTAAAAAAAATCAACAACTACAGTTTAAAAAGACAAATACGAAAAACAATAATCTATTAAAATTTAAATTATTTAAATTAAATAAATAAGGAACAATGATCAACAAAAGTTCTCAATAGAAAATATATATATATACCTTTTCATTGAGGGACACCTTGTAAGGTCTAATACAAATTTATTTCCATGATTCAAAATGTCCATTTTTTTAAAGTCTTTATTCGAAAATCAAAAACCATTAAGACATCTAGGCGTTAACAGCAAAATCAACGATCCAGGTGGTTCAAGAAAACACTAAAATTATTACCACATCGATTGAGTGGCCAAATGATTTTCGGATTCAAGTGATTTTTGCAGGGAATATCTTTGAGGGAATACCTATTAAAAAAACAATTTATATTGTGAAAATACAAAGTGAATGGGCCTCACAATGGATCATTCAACTGAAGCTAAAGAGACAGAAAGTTGAAGATCGAGGTCAACTACTTCTAAAGTGGAAGGGACTGGATGTAGAATAGATGGATGAAGCAATAGAAGAGGAGTTGACACGTCGCGCGCTCAAAGGCAAAACTGGCAAGTTACAAGTTTGGGCCCCGAGCTCCGATTTGGGCCCATGACCCACCGTTTCGAAAGGACTAGCACCACGAGTAAAACTCATCTTTTTGCCATGACGTATGGGCTTTTTCAAGCGTTCAAGATCGTTTAGCAGCCCAAATAGGCCTTTTCATATTTTGCAAGGAAATTTTTGAAGGAAAGTAGCCCACCTGACATGCATTTTGTTGACACTTTTATGGTTGTTAATAAATTTCATGGACTGATGATCAGTATAAAGGACGAACTCTCATTGCAAAAGGTAATGTTCCCACTGTTTCAAACCCTCGCCACTGCATAAAATTCATGATCATATGTGCTCCATTTCTGGTGGGCTTCATTGAGTTTTTCATAGAAAATTACTACTGGCTTCTTTTCTTGAGACAAAACAGTGCCCACACCTACTCCACTTGCGTCACATTCAACCTCGAATATTTTCTCGAGGTTAGAAAGGGCTAGGACAGGTGTCGTACCTAGTTTTTCTTTGATCAAGGCAAAATTGGACTCTTGCACTTCTCCCTAATGAAATATGCCTTGTTTATGACACTTTATAATGGGAGTGGTGACAGTGCTCAAATTTCTAACAAATCACCTGTAAAAGGTTGCAAGACCATGAGAACTCCTCACTACATTCACTAATTTTGGGGTAGTTCCATCTTGGATGGCTCGAACCTTGTCTTCATCCACATGAATACCGTTCTACTCGAACAAATTTGATGAACACTTTTCAGCAACTCTTCAATTTTCTCATGCAAAATCTCATTTTCTTTGGGGCTCATGCGGTAATGGGGTAAGTTTGGCAAGCTAGCAACAGGTACTAAATTAATCTGGTGTTGAATGTCTCTCATGGGAGGTAGCTCATTGGGCAGGTCATTCGAGATTAGTTTATGGAACTCTGATAAAATCTTATGCACCTCTCTAGGAATCTAAACTGGAACAACAATAAGTAAACCCTTAGGCCCCGTTTGGTTCATGGGAAAGGAATCTTGGGGATAGGAAATCAATTGCTTTCCCATGTTTGGTAAGTCAGACATGGGAAATCGTTGCCTGGCACATGATAAAGTAGGAGGGAAAGTGAAGCCTTCCTTCCTCCTTGAATTTACTTTCCCTTCCCATGGGAAAGTAAGGCTAGCATTAAATACACTTTTTTTCTGACTAATTTGTCCTTACTAACAATTCATAATTACAGTTTTTATCCAACAACTATTGGTATTCTTTTTTATTTTTTTTATTCATATTTCTTTAATAGGGGTACAATTGGGAAACTAAACAAAATTTGTTTTCCATTCCTACTCAAAACAAACATGGGAAAGGAAATAAAGTGATATTTCCGGGTTACTTTCCCGGCATTACCAAACATGGGAAAGGAATCACCATTTCCCATCCCTTGGGAAATGACATGGGAAATGATTTCCCATCAAATCCGTTCTGTGAACCAAACAGGGCCTTAAAGTATAAAGGATATACTACTGCTGCTTCTTTCATATCCCCCCGAACTATGACCCTAATCTAACTTAACCCTCGAACTAAAAAGTCAGTCAATTTAGTATTCGAACTTATTAAAACAACAAATTCAGCCCTTGCCGTTAAGTTTTTCAATTTTTATTCAATTTTTCCTTTAATAATAAGGGTAAATTTGTAATTTTGAGTAAAACAAAATGCAAATACATAAAACCAAAATAAAAATTCAATCTCTTCTGTTTCTTCAAAACTCATGAAAACCAAGTTCATATTTCTCAAAAATTTGAACTAGTTTTGGGTCTTTCTGTGAGTATTTAGAACTGATGTAGATTTTTTAAGTATTTTTTATGTGTTTTTTTTTAGGTGAGACCCAAGGGTATCCACCGCCGACAGTAGTGACTAATCCCTTTCGCCGCTGGAGCTCTCCCAATGGAGGTAAATGGCTGGCCACAAAATGCGCTCCATTCCCATGGACGGGGATCGAACCCCCAACCTCATGGTTAAGGAATGAGGTGAGCTACCACCACACCACATCTCATGGTTATTTATTATGTGTTTTGATTTCTTCAATTACAAGACATTTTATTGGAACCAAGTCAAACTTTATGATTTCCTATAAAGCCCTAAAGATCTTGAGAGGATTTACTTTGAAATTCATCACCTAAAGATAGAATACTGGATGAAATTCGAGAAACTTAACAGCATGGTTGAATTGGTTGTTTTAATGAGTTCGAGTACTAAATTGGCTGATTTTTTAATTCGAGAAGTTAAGTTTAATTCTTTTCATAAATTGGAGAGTAAAACAATTGAAAATCCAAATTTATGTCACCATTATTGATGAACAGCCATATCAGATTTGACATTTTCTGTTTGCTTCCATGAGAGGAATTTATTAATACTATAATATAATGTATACCTTTTTTCTTTTAACCAGGATATAACTTTTACATTTGGTCAAGTATTGGATAATGTTGTATCGAAGGGTTACATCCGACAATGCTGCTCAAACGTTGAGTACCGTACATTGATTGCCCCATTTATCCTAATTTATGGGTTTTGGAAAAAGAATTATTAGTGTATAATACAAAGCATTATGAATTATGTGTTAGTCATTAATCAGTTGTTTATTTAATGATAATTATCTTCACTCCATTGACTATGTGCCCGTTTGGCATTGCTTATTTGGGGTGATAAGTGATTTTAAAAAAAATTTGGGAAGCCCAGCCCGTTTGGTAAACTATGAGAAAATCACTTATTGTTAAAAATTGCTGTGAGAGAAAGCTATAAGAGAAAGCAGCTAATGAGGTGCTTTCATTTTTTGATTATGCAGGAATTAGTTTTGAAGAGGCGCTGGGTTTAATGATTATGCTGCAATTTTTTTTTCAAATTATGCGGGAATCAATACCAACAACATTTTTAACAAAAAGTTTACCAAACGCCAAACCGCTTTCTCTCACAGCTAATTTCTCTCACAGCAAATTTGACAGCGATTATTTTCACAGCACAGCAATGCCAAACTGGCCCTATGTCTCAAGTTTAATTCATATAAATGCAAAACAAATAATTATCTGCTTCTTGATCTCTACGTCTCTCTGTCTCTCTCCATCTCGACCACTGTTGATTTAGTTGTTAGTTTGTGCCTCTCGATTCGAGAGTGACTCACTGGCTCCACTCCTTATAAACCCTTACAAACTTTACAAAGTGGACAATACATCGTCACAGCGTACAAATGAATAATCCAGTTAATTCTTTAAAGTTAATGTCTTTGTGCAATGTACTTGCCAACAGTTACTTCCGTAGAAATTATGAGAACTAGATTACCATGTTTAAGGTGTGGAATTAATGCATGCATTATAAGTAAGCTCTTGGTTACGTTGTTCAACCACTGACTGATTTACAGTTGTCATATCTAATCTAAGCTAATGTAATTAAATTAAAGAATGTCAAGCTACTTCCCCCTACAGAAACCCTTTTAGCGTTATTTTCAAACTA